CAACCTAGACCATGAGGACAAGGACCACTCCCCAGAGATGGTGAAACTGAGAACTGGAAGAAGCCCAGGACCCTGAAAACTTCACAAAGGGCCCAGGAATGCCTACCTCTGGATTTCATTTAGATGAGAAGTAAAGCTCAATCTTGCTTGTTTTGTATTTATATATTTTTATTTATTTCAGAGAGGAAGAGAGAGAGAGAGAGACATCAATGATGAGAATCATTGATCAGCTGTCTCCTACACGCCCCACACTGGAGATATGCCCTGACCGAGAATCAAACCATAACCTCCTGGTTCATAGGCCGATGCACAACCACTGAGCCATGCCAGCTAGGCTCTATCTGGGGTCTTCATGGCATATTCTATCAAACCTGATCAACAGCAAGGAAGGATGGTGGAAGAGAAAAATCTCAACCTAAGTTTGAGGTGTAAGATTCTGTCGACAGAATGAGACAGCAGAGGGCTCAGAAGCTTGTCCTACAGCTCAGGGAGGACGGGCTGGACAAGGAAGCTGAGGCCAGATGCTGAGGGTCTAGAAAGCTGAGTACCCTGGGAGGACTTTAGCCAGGAGCCAGGAGGTTGTGAGTGGAAGTGCTGTGATAACATCAGCACTTCAGCAAAGTGAATGTGGCAGCCTTGCCCAGGCCAGCAGAACCAGGATAGCTCGGATGGAGGAGAGCTGTGGAGTCAAATGTTTCCTGAATGTCTAGTAGGTGCAGGCCAGGTCGTGTGCTCCCGGCTGCACAGAATCCTGGAGCGGAGTCTGAAAGATGTCAGAGGAGCACCAGCCCCTCCTGTATCCTTACAGCAGTGACTCCCACGTCTGCCTCCGCAGCCCCACACAAGCTCAGACTCCCAGGCCCACCCAGAAGAGTAGGACCCACGGACAGGGGTGGGGATTCTGTACTTTTAGTAGCTGTCCCCAGGCGACTCTATGTACAGTCCATGGACATATTAAATAGGCTAGAAGCAGCTCCTTACCTGGCACCTGAAACATAGGTTTAGATGTTTATTTAAAAATAAACATTCAGCCCTAGTCGGTTTGGCTCAGTGGATAGAGCAGCCTATGGACTGAAGGGTCCCAGGTTCGATTCCGGTCAAGGGCACGTACCTTGGTTGCAGGCACATCCCCAGTGGGGGGTGTGCAGGAGGCAGCTGATTGATGTTTCTCTCTCATCGATGTTTCTAATTCTCTATCACTCTCCCTTCCTCTCTGTAAAAAAAATTAATATATTTTTTAAAAATAAACATCTGAATAATATATTCAATATTTTCATACTATTAGAAGACAAGCCAGTAGATTCTGACTTTCCATAATAGTCAAAACAACTAAGTAAATGTGTTAGGTTTTTTTTTTTTAGCTATTTAATTAACAGCAATACAACCTAAAGTCACTAATAACTAATAGGTCTATGATCTATTTCTGAAATCATTTCAGGGAAAAAAAACAAACAAAAAAAACTTATGTGTCACTTGAATAGAGCCCGAGAAGAGACCTCCAAGCGTGAGCATGAGTTTATGCTAGCTCACTGTAGCCGTTCTGCATCTTGCAGACATGGTGGAGTCCCAGAGCCCAGCCTACGGGTTTTCCAAGATGCTCTAGCACACTTCTGAGGCAACCAAAGTGAGAATTTTTATAGTTCCCTTCTTCCTAATTAATATTGGAAAGTGATTCTCAGAATAAAATGCACTCCCCTATACAAAGCATGATGCTTGGTGCTGGGGATACAATATTTAAGAGAAAACAGGGTCCATGTCCTTAAAGAGTTGATGGTCTAGAAAGGCAGACAAGTAATTCATTCAATAATTATGTAATTACAGCCCTAGCCAGGTTAGCTCAGTGGATAGAGCACCGGCCTGTGAACTGAAAGGTCCCAGGTTCGATTCCGGTCAAGGGCACATGCCTGGGTTGTGGGCTTGATCCCCAGTAGAGGGACTTGCAGGAGGCAGCCGATTCATGATTCTCTTTCATCATGGATGTTTCTATCTCTCTCCCTCTTCCTTCATCTCTGAAATCAATAAAAATATATATTTTTTAAAAATTATGTAATTACAACTGTCATAAATAGTACTAAGGAAGAGTACTTGGTGCTTTGACAGAGCATGGTGAGACCTCAGGAAAAGTTTACCAAGCAAATGTAACATTTGTGCTGCAGGCAGAGGACCCGTTGACAGGAGCAATGTTCTGCTAGAACAGATAAACCCTTATCTGACCATCTGGCTAGAAGACCCCAAATTCTCACCCCTCATACCTCAGCAGGGAGGTGTGAATACCTTAACTCCCCTGCAGCTGCCTCCAGGCCTTGCTGGGCCCAGTAGAAGGAGAGAAACACAATAAAACAGACTCCAAGCTGGACCTGCCCCTGGACCAATATTTCTGGTGCTATGTGCCGAGCATTGTGCACAGGGATGGGAAATAAGGTATTTAACAGCAAAAACCGGTTTGGCTCAGTGGATGGAGCGTCGGTCTGCGGACTAAAAGGTCCCAGGTTCGATTCCGGTCAAGGGCATGTACCTTGGTTGCGGGCACATCACCAATGTGGGGGTGTGCAGGAGGCAGCTGGTCAATGTTTCTCTCTCATCGATGTTTCTAGCTCTCTATCCCTCTCCCTTTCTCTCTGTGAAAAATCAATAAAATATATTTAAAAAAAAAAAAAGAGAGAGAGAGAGATTGTAACAGCACCAGACAGTACACAAGGGAGGAAGAGGAAGACATGTCCCCCACACCCCAAGGAGGGGATAGGATCTGAAGATGGGCAAAACGTGGACATGGAGAAAGCATCCTGACAGTAGGACGACATAAAACGAAGCGTGAGGCTAGAAAGCGCTGGGTGTGCAACAGCTGCAGCTGGAGCTCAGGATGAAGGATGGCAGAGAGCTGGCTGTGATGTGGGCCTGAGTTACCACCTTTAACTCGGGGAGTGAACAGATGACAGTGCTGGTCTTCAGGGTGGTGTCTGGTGTCCAATCACAGCTCCTGCCCAGACTGGCTCCATGACCAAGAGCCCTAGGTGTTCCCCAGTGGACAAGTGCAGCATTTCTTAAACAGCGGAGTCCTACGGATGACCTGGGACAGGTGGCCAGGCCCCACCTCCAGTTGGAAGATTCCGAGGGCTCCTCCAGCCATGAGCTTCAGGCCCTGGATTCCTGGCCTCCTACAACACAAAGCCCAGGCCTGGGGGACCTTCCCTGACTACGGTGGGTGTTCCTGACAAGCAGGGGACAGACCTGTGATGCTGTGGGGAAGCAGGGATGGAGAGCTGCGGAGGGCTGGGCCCAGACTGCCTCCTGGTCTAGGGACATTCTCAAAAAAAGGTGAAAGTGAAGAGTAGCCAAGGGCCCAGGGGGGAGGAAGGACACTCCGGGCAGACGGTGCAGCTTGTGGAAAGGCATATCAGCACTGTTACGATCTCATGTGCATGTAGGTGAAGAATGAGAAGCAAAGCCGGAAGGGATCTCCAGGCCCACCACACAGAGAGCCCTACCAAGAAACGAGGGCTTGCGTCCGTAGGCAACAAAAAGCCACAGCAGCCGAAACCGGTTTGGCTCAGTGGATAGAGCGTCGGTCTGCGGACTAAAGGGTCCCATGTTCGATTCCGGTCAAGGACGTGTGTACCTTGGTTGTGGGCACATCCCCAGTGGGAGGCGTGCAGGAGGCAGCTGGTCAATGTTTCTCTCTCATCGATGTTGCTGGCTCTCTATTCCTCTCTCTTCCTCTCCGTAAAAAAGTCAATAAAATATATATATATTTTTTAAATAAATTAAAAAAAAAAAAAAGCCACAGCAGACCCCTGAAGCCTGCAGGATCATGGCAACAGCTCCCCATAGTCATTTTCGGGGCACAGATAAATGGGATCTTATTCTTGCCTCCCCACCACCACCATCAGTCTCCATCCTTTACGATCACCTATGATTCTCATCCAAAAATCAAACCTCAGATCCCCTCTGCGTAGCTACCAGGTCAAAATGAGGCAAGCAATTTGACTAAGGCAACTGACGCTAAGCCAGGGTCCCAGTCTCTGACATTCCGGGGAAAGGCTGGTCCAGCCTGCAACAAGTTGGCTGGCTAGCTCTGCTCTCCCCGGCTGGCATCTGTACCTCTTGCAGCTTTCTCTCGCTCCCTTGGAGGAACCAGCACCCCTACATGAGTTCAAGACCCTCGAGGGTGGGAAAGAAGAGGCACAGAGAGGGGGAGAGCTGGGTCACACTGGCTGGGTTTAAGGAAACTGAAATACCTTAAAAACCAGAAGAAACGTTGGGGCAACTTCAACAATTCACGCAGCCTCGCTAAGAAAGGTCCTGTCCAATAGGCTCTGCACAGGATGACTCCTGGTGTCTTCAAATGACCTGCTTCACCCTCAAAAGTCAAAGACTAAGAGGATACAAAGAGGTGCAGCCGAAACCGGTTTGGCTCAGTGGATAGAGAGTCAGCATGCGGACCAAAAGGCTCTGGGTTCGATTCCCGTCAAGGACATGTATCTTGGTTGCGGGCACAGACCCAGCAGGGGTTATCCAAGAGGCAGCTGATCGATGATTCTCTCTCATCAATGTTTCTAACTCTCTGTCCCTCTCTCTTCCTCTCTGTAAAAAATCAATAAAATATATTTTAAAAAAATAAAAAAGAGGTGCAGACTCTGAAGGGACTGCCGAATCTCGCAATGCTAGCAAAGACGGGGTGTGCTGATTCTCTCGAGGGGCCCGCAGTGAATGGGGAGGAGATGGAGTTCTGGTCAGGGTTAAGTTAGCACCAGCTGAGTGCACGGGGCTCACGAACAATACTTTCCGTTCGCAGTGAAAGCACACTTCGGAGGGGGAATGTAGGGATGTGGGGCGCAGGGTGGTGGTGGTGAAGAGTTAGGCTTCCAGAGGCGCTGGCAGTGGGCAGCGCAATGAAGGCACTGCCCTCTCCACCCCTGGAACCCGGCCTGGCGCGCACACGGGCCGCCCTTGGGATGCGGTGGGCCAACCGGCCGGGAGCCCCCAGCGGCGGCCCCGCTCACCTTGCACTTGAAGCCGGCGGCGGGCGGCAGCAGCTCCCGCAGCAGGGCCTTGGCCACCTCGCGGCTGGCCTCCTCGCTCACGAAGTGCAGGTTCAGCACCTCGTGAGCCTCGAACTTGGCCAGGCGCAGCAGGGAGCGCAGCGCGACGCGGGCCTTGGCCTGCAGCGCGGCGTTGTGCTCCGCCTTGGTGAACATCATCAGCAGGTGGTAGTCCACCGGCCCGGCCCCGCCGCCGCCGTCCAGGCTCTTGGCCTTGGCCCCCAGGGCGGGCGCCGCGGACCCCCGCGCCTGCTCCGGCACCGGCCCCGGCGGGGAGGGCGCCGCCGCGGGGGCCCCGGCGCGGGCCTCCTTCAGCCTCTTGGTGGCGCTGGAGAAGGTCTCGCGGCCGGAGCCAAGGTAGTAGAAGGCGCAGACGGCGAGCGCCGCGGCCAGCAGCAGCGCGCAGTGATGGGAGCGCACGGCGCCCAGGCGCGCCATGGCCCGCGCGCACGGAGCCCCGCCTCGGAGGAGGCCCATGCGGCCGGGACCGGGCGCCCAGCAGCCGGAGAGGAGCCGCCGAAACCCGTAGCCCGGCGGCCACTAGCGGCACCGCCGGCGGGCGGCGGCCATGGCGGGGGCGGGGCTACGCTGCACTGAGCCAATCCGGGGGCGCTGATGCGCGGGGAGGTGTGGCCAAAGCTGCCGGGCAGCCGCTGGGTCCTAGGTTCCAAAGGATTCAAGCTGGGATGAACCGCGGCAGTAGGATCTGAGCTGGGACTCCAGCGGGGGTGGTGGAGACAGCCAAAGGCCTGCATGAGCTGTGAAAACTGGACCTCTTAAATGCCTAGCCACAGGCGTTAGGATCGAAGCTGAGCCTTAAAAAGTCCCAATGCAGGACCTTCGGTTAGCAAAAAGAGAAAAAGCGTTCTCTCTATACTCTTTCTCCCTAATTTCTTAATCCACTCACATCCTGGAGACCAACTGGAGCTGAGGAATTTAAATTAGCAATTTCCTTCCCCATTTCACGGTGAGGTGGATAGAAAAAGCCTTTCACCGACTTGTCATCGCTGAGGCGACCAGAGGTACCTTAAGAATGTGGCCAGCAGGGGGACCCCGCTACCCCAAACTTTGGAATAATTCAGAGAGCCCCAGAGGAGGAATACCAGAGATTGTAATACCAATTTTTTTAAATCTTTATTGTTGAAAGCATTACGTATGTCCCCTTTTTCCGTCCATTGATCCTCTCCAGCTCGCCCCGGCCCCCGCCCCAGGCTTTTACTACCCTATTGTCTGTGTCCGCGGGTTATGCATATATGCGTACAAGGTTTTTACTTCAACACTTAAAAAAGCCTTCATATGTGCCAGGTAGTTTTGCAAATTCTAAGGCACATTGAGGTAAATTCTCCAAGGGCACACACACATTGGCAGCTTTGCCCCTAGACAGGTGGAAACTGTCAACTATAGAAAAACTCATTAACTTCAGTCTCTTAAGGACTAGTGATACACCATGGTGTGTAAGTACCTGTGTGCTTATGTGAAAATACAAGGAAAAACTCTCACCAGTCTGTTAGGAATATGCCATTATTCCTCAAAGTGTGGTTCCCAGACTACAATTTATCTCATTTTTAACTCTTGTTCTTTTCAACCAGAGCAACTTTTCTGGAAAACACGGGATTTCTGAAACAGGCTTGGCAGCAAGTTCAATGCATACAACTCACCTTATTTAAAAAGATGGAAAAAAAACCAACAGCAGAATTAGCTCAGTTGAGTAAACAGATTCTTTGATTCATTGGTATTTTTCTGGAGGACGTACGGCAATCCTAAAATCTCTATGGCCTCTAAAAGAACTTTCAGTTCTCTTTTCTATCCAAATGAATGTTTCTCCCCGACAATGGTTCCCAGATTTGGGTTGGCATCAGAAGTACCTGGAGGGCTTATTGAAAACATAAAGTCTCAGGTCCTACTTATCTCCAGTGAGCCTGAGCCTCATTGTGATTGTTTCACAGACTAAAGTTTGAAAAGCACTACCCTAGACCTTCACCCAGCCAACCTCTTTCAGACCTTGGCTTAGGTGTCAATGCCTCAACAAGTGGTCTCTAAACATTAACCAGTCCATGTCTGGCTGAGGCACCATCCTCCACAATTCCCTGAGGGTCATCTATAAATTAGCCAGTCCCATCTTTCTCTGTTGCAAGAAGGCAGACTCAAAGAGAACAGGAAGTGTCTACCTATTTACCATAATATCTCTAGTACCTAACATAGTGCCCCAACTCACTGAATAAGCCACAAAAATATACCCAGCCATTGTGAACCAGCAGTCTAGGAAATTATTCTAAGGAAATAGTCAAGAATGTACTCAAGCATCTAGCCAAAAGGATAAAGCAGAGCTAGATTTATGATGCCAAGAAATTGGAATCAAATGTTCATAATAAAGGGGCTAAACTAAAATACTTTCAATAAAAATGTTGTATTCAACAAATGCAGGTAGAAACTTTAAAAAAAATAAAACCTATAAAGACTTGAGACATACTGCAATGAATGAAACATGAATTCTGATTTAAAGCACCTATGTAAACACACACACACACACACACACACACACACACACATTTGGGATAATCGTGTGTGTCCCAAAACCGAAAATTTGAATACAAACTATAGTTTTTTAAAGAAGTATGTTATTACCCTGGCTGGTGTTCTCAATGGTTAGAGCACCAGCCCACAAACAAAAGGGCTACAGGTATTTAATACCATCCCTCCCCGGTCAAGTGCAGGAGGCAACCAACTCATGTGCCTCTCTCCATCTCTCTCCCCGCTCCCTCCCTTCCTCTCTCTCTCTAAAATAATAAATGTGGTATTATGCTTAGCCTTTTATTTATTTTTAAGAGTTCTTCTTTTAGAGATACATACTGAATAATTTCCTGGTTCAATGTCTGGGATTTGGTTTTCTAAAATCTGGATAAGAGGGGAAAAAATGGGTGGAAGTACAAATAAAACAATGTCAGCCACAAGGTAATAGCTATTGAAGTTCTTATTTTTAAATGTTTGAAGTTTTTCATAATAAAGTATTTTAAAAATCCTCCCCAAAGTGATGTAGAATACTTAAGGACTTAACAATTTGTTTCCCATTTATTAACTGAAAGAAGCAGGTAACAAAACAGTATGATCCCACTGTATATAGACACACATACCCAAAGGTCCATAAGGACATATGCCAAGGAGTAAGTTTTCCCCTCAGTACTCTCCAATAGAACTTCCTACGATGCTGGGTATGTTATATTATCTGCCATGTTTAAAACAGACAAAAGCCCGGCCGGTGTGGGTCAGAGGGTGAGCCAGGAACCAGGAGGTCACTGTCAGGGCATATGCTGGGGTCTCTGGCTAGATCCCCAGTAGAGGGTGTGCAGGAGGCAGCTGAACAATGATTCTCATCATTGATGCTTCTCTCTCCCTCTCCCTTCCTTTCTGAAATAAAAAACAACAGCAGTCACAAGGCAGTGCAACAGATAAACTCTTAACTTTGTGTGATTTTAATTAATTTAAATTTTAATGGCCACAGTGGACAGCATGGGCAGATGATTGAATTATGGATGATTATCTTCTTTTTTTACTTACTGCAATGTAAACATTTTTCTACCACAAAAAACCATTATTTTGCAATAATGAAAAAGCAGGCTTTGTTTTCATTTGAAACATTTATTGACTAGTGATGTAGATTCTCTTCTTCATAGAACTATTTTTAAAATGAAATGAAGTGGGATAAAGCAAGTCACATAGAAAAGTTTGTGTTTGCTTTCAATTAGCTTTTAAAGGCAAAAGTAGGCAATTCACCTCCAGATCTGTTCTTTCAATCCCTCCATTCCTTCCGTCTCAATCTATATATAAAAACATGTTTTTGTTTACTAAAAGGATTCAGTGTGAATGTGTTGTTTAGATTAGAAACTTCAACATATATGTCAATCAAAATGGAAAGGAAAAAAAAGCTAATGCTTTTGTGATTTTTATCTAATGACTTGGGAGCCATACTGTGATCAGGCAGAAGAGAATTTTTAAAAGATCAAAATGGATTTCTTTATTGGAGCAATCTGATGGATCCAACAGGGTTGGAAAGGAATATAGGACCTTAAACATGACAGTTGTTAACAGGTAAGTCTGAAGTTGTGTTTTACAATAAAGTGAAAATGTGAGCATGAAAGAACTATGCCAGAGGTGAAATTTTTATTGACTTATAATTTTTTCAGTATACAAAGTATTTAATCAAGTGTAATATTTACAATTCTTACATAATGTACATTTTAGAATAACTATAAAGACGATGTACTTTGTTTCATTTACAATGGCAAACTACAGTAAAACTACATTCATGAATTAGATACAAATCCTCTACATACTAATAAAAAGTGAATGTGTTTGTTATACATTCTTTAAAATAGAGCCTTACACAGATAGCAAGAAATATTATATGTAATAAATCTTTATGTCTGGAATGATCCAAAATACCCACAAAGCACAAGTAAACACATATAGGAAAGTAGCTCATCGTTTCCTAAAGTTAACCTTTAGCCTTTGTGTAAAATAAATGATGTCAGCACTCTTTATAATGTAGCAAGCTTTCCCTGTTTAAAATTAACACCAAAAAGGTGGGGAAGGGTGTTGAGGAAAAATAAAAAAAATCTAGAACACAAAATAGTGAAAAGATCCATATAGAGAAAAGCTTATTTAATCAAACCTTGCTTCTCTCTCCCATTATCTCATTTTAATAAATGTATGTAAACAGAAAAGGATGTCCACAAAATTATATTTGCAGATGTCAGGATTCAACCAAATTGAATCCAAGCCCCTTTTAGTTATCTTTCATCAGGAAACTTATAAGTACAGGCATACCTCAGAGGCACTGTGGGTTCATTTCCAGACCACCACAATAAAGCAAGTATCGTCATATAGTAAGTCATAATCTTTTTGCTGGTGGAGAGTCCTGCCTTCAATTTGTAAAGACACAATATCTGTGAAGTGCAATAAAGCAAAGCACATTAAAATGAGGTATGCCTGTATATAGTAAATTAAAATTACCTTTGCAATATTTCGCTTTCATTAATGTTATTGCAAAAATGTAAATTTTCCTATAATTTAATGCTGTCAGATCCTAATTTATCCCTTCAAGGTAATTATATAGCCAGGTTCTCCGGAAGATTTGGAGCTTTTATCAAAACACAAGGAAAGCTGAAACCGGTTTGGCTCAGTGGATAGAGCGTCAGCCTGTAGACTAAAAGGTCCTAGGTTCGATTCCGGTCAAGGACATGTACCTTGGTTGCGGGCACATCCCCAGTAGGGGGTGTGCAAGAGGCAGCTGATGATGTTTCTCTCATCGATGTTTCTAACTCTCTATCCTCTCTCTTCCTCTCTGTAAAAAATCAATAAAATAAAATATTTAAAAAAAAACACAAGGAAAGCTGGCAGTCATTATCAGATGTTGCTGCTTTACAATGATTTCAAATCAATTCATGATACAAATAAAGTGCCTCCAACTATTACAGACAGAAAGGGGGCTCTGGTGTCATTTATGCCACCAACCAGCAAACCAGTGACCCCCGCTCTCTGTAAAACAAGAGTGAACCAGATCAAAGAGACAATGTTGGCTCTCGCAGAGTAAATACCATAGGCATCCTACTGTGAAATCGGGTGAGATAAAGGAATGTCAAAGTGCATTGTGAACAGCACAACAGTATACAGAGGGATACTGTTATTGTTTCACTCTGCTTCATCGCATTGGTTTATTTGTGAGGAGCTCTGAATCCAATGAGAATAATAACTACTAGTCAGTACTCTTTCCACTGTGCAGGTCTGAAGTCATTCTGGACAAACAATTCTATAAAAAGATCACTTTTCCAGCTCATGTCCATGGTCAAAGGTGCTAACAAACAGAAAAGTTAATCTGACAATCTAAGAGTGATATGTAAATGTCTCATTATTCAAAATGGGTAGTAAATTTAGTCTTAAATGCAATTTGGTTGATTGTAACCAAACTTTACATTTATAAATTTATATATCTAAAAATACTGCTTAACACATCACAAACTTGATTTGTCCAGATTGTAAAGGTATATGTTTTTCTGGGATTTTTCTTCTTCAAAATGCACTCATGAAGAACCCAAGTACATATTCCAAATTAAATCTATACATTTTGAGAAACAAACATCAAAATTCATTAAAGTTTATAGTGAAGACCAGTAGAAATTAGGCAAACACTGTAATGTAATGAATCCCTGGAAATTCCTGGATTTCTAAGGACTATACCAAAGGTAATTTTTTAAACCTTATAAAATTGCATGTAACTACTCAATTACCTTTAGTCTAGATCTAACATGAAACTGCACCTGATGAACTCCTCCCAGTGCAAACAATATTTTTATTTTAATATTAATCTAACTTCTAAGTTAATGAGCTAATGATATGCACTAACAAAATAATAAGAAAGAATCAGAAACTAGTATCAGCAGATCAGTTAAGGAAAGAAAACCAAGGCAAGTCACAATGACCTATGAAGCCCAAGAGTAAGATTAACTTTGCTTCCACTATAGTTTCTCATAAAGCAATGAATAATTCACGGCGCTATAATACTCAGATCTGTTACATACTATGGAAAAGATGTTACTTGTCAGCTTAATTTACCCTGGTAAGAGCCACCCTTTGTAACTACTTGAAACTATTATACTTTACAGCCTTGCTGTTTACTGTATCATTTCTGCCAAATTTAATCCAAATTGTATCTCAGCATATTTAAGAAATCAAGCCACAGGAATGTATTTTTGTAGTACCAAGATTCAAGTAGGCACTAATTACTGCCACATTAACAACTCATGACTCAGGCTACAGGAGGTAAGAGTGTCATGAAGAAGTGCCTTCACAACTAGAGAGTCCACAGGTTTTCTGAAGCACCGAGGGCTGGATCCAAAGGAAATCTGCCTAGGCTTCCTCAAATACAGGGTAGGAGCTTTAGGGGTGAAATCCTAGGATTAAAACAGAAATAAGCACTGCAAAGGAAAAGTGAATCTCTCTTTTCTCTTTCTGTTGTTAACATATTTCCTTATTCTTGAGTTTTTCAAAAAATCAATCTCAAAGTACACTCTAATAAAAATTATATAAATCAAACTTTTGCCAAGCCAGATAGATGATCTGTGACTGAGGTAAAACAGGATGTTCCTGTTATTGGTTTAATTACAAGGCTTTTGGAAGTTAAGATTTCTTTAGAAATAATTCATAAATATAGTTTTTATTCTTATCCGATATACTAAATAAGCATAATATGCATGCAATTTGACCAAACATGGAACCGTTCCTGTGATGTGAATTTATTTCAGTATAATTCCTGTTAAGACAGATTCCGTTTTGACAGTCAATTAATTTATAAAACTCTAGTTATTGGGAGGAAGGGAGGTTAGAAAATGTATTTCTATCCAATTAAATAGTATTTACCTACTTATTGATAACCCAAATTTTAAAATCTTATTTAGAAACTGAGTATCAACAATAACACATGCAACTTATAAAAAAAAAAAAGATTAAATTTAATTGTTGACAATATTAGAAAGAAACCATGCTCTGGCTAGTATGGCTCAGTTGGTTGAGCATTATCCTGTGTGCACCAGAAGGTTGCCAGTTTGATTCCCAGTTGGGGCACATGCCAAAGTTTTGGGCTCAGGAGAGCCCAATGTTTCTTTATATTTCTCTTTCTCTTTCTTTCTCTCTCCCCTTCCCTTCCTCTCAAAAAAAAAAAAAAAAAAAAAAAAATCAATAAAAACATTTTTTAAAAAAGAAGGCAAATTATTATACTAAATTATCTTATAATCCTGACAAGATATATCAACAAAAGATGGAATTAGACTAATTTGTAGCATATACATGATAAATTAGTATATCTATATTTTGGAATTCAAGGGTCTGTGATTCATAAAACCAAATACTAAAGCTATATAGATGTTATAATTTAAATGAACATACACTGTATACAACAAGTACACAGAATAGATGTTGGAAAAATTAAAAAGCAATTTAATGCTATATTTTAGTTAAAGCTAAGAAAAACATGACATTTTTTTTCTCCTTTTACAAAGAGATTTTTCTTTCACAAGGACCAACAGCAAAAATGTATCTTAAAAAGGACAAATTTCAAATATAAAAATGCTCTACATTACTCTATAAGTCAGCTTTTCCTTTGAAAGTTACAATATGATGAAAGCATAATTTTGCAACATTTAAGTAACTTTTGAAACAGTTTTATTACATCAATAAGTTTGTCCAGGTTTTAGGAAATCAACCCAACAATGAAGAACTAAAATTTCTATAACTGAGAATCTTTTGGTGATTAAAAAAAAAAATGTTAAGGGCTTCTTTTTTGCTGCATAAAATGGAATAAAACTGAAGGACTGAGTTATATCTACCTGTATAACCATTGTATGTATATTAAAATACTGGACAATAACCAGGTATCTATAACTGCATTTATGAACCAATGGGGAAACATACTCTCTAGCTAATTAAACTATTTATGTGTGTATAAGAGCTAGCCTATCAAAGCAAATCAAAACCATTTCTGAACCACTAACGTTATCTGGGAAACTGAAGAAAAGACATACTCTTGAGGCAGGCAGGACCAGTCCTAGCTCCCACTGGATGCAAAAATGCTTTACTGAATGACACTGGGTACGACGCACAGAAGAAAAAAATCAATGCTACCATCCACTAGCAAAAAGAAGAGATTTTTGTCTAAACTCTTAGGACATAGTAACCTAAAGATGGCCTTAGTCTGGGTTCAATTTTTATCTATAAAATAGCCCTGAGACAGGCTCTTCTCCTTTCTGTGGGTCCTAAAGAAGGCTCCTCTCCCAACAACTAAAGCCTTATGTTTTACCAAAGAATGGGTACCATTTTTCCAAACTACTCAATGTCTACTAAAATTAAGTAGAATTAAAGTAGTAAAAATGTGTGAGTTTTCAAATCTATACATTAAGGAAGTCACCAGATTTACTATTCTCCCCTTCTTAAAAAAGAAAAAAATCAGAATTTCTGTGAATCTTGCTGGAAACGATTTAGTTTTTCTGGATTATTGGATGCCATCTGAGAAAAGTCACGGAAAATGTCTTGGTAGGTTTCATCACCTGCATGAAAGTAAAATAAGGACACTTTAAAATGTATACAATAAAAGTATTAATAAACAATATTCATTCTTATACGTAACTACTTAATAATTCATTACATTAAAATTTTGTTTAGCTGAGCATTTTTGAAAGAAAAAAAAGAGATGAACTAAATATAAATGCTGGAAAAGTATATGGTGAAAGAAGAAAGGAAACTATACCTGAAAAAAGCACCTCAAATGCAGCCATAGAGGAAAGTTCAGAGTTAGAAAAGAGCAGAGATGCAAGTATTTTCAAGCAATGTGCAGAAATACATTTATTCATACATGGGAAATAAAAGTCAGTATAAGTGAGGTATAGTAAACAAGGCATTCTTTAAATAAATATTTCCCTTGATCAAGACCAAAAGATCAAAAAAAACAAACAAAAAAAAAACCCACTGTTTTTGATGGATGCAAGTTATTAACCAGACAAAGCTGATAATCAGGGTGAGGGGGGGAGCCTACTTTAATATTATCTTTTAAAAGGTGTTTTAATTTAAATAGCATGTGAAAAAGAAATTCTTCACTCTAACTTTAATGCTTAACTAAAACTAACACATTAATCTCCTGCTTACTAAGCTTATAAAATGATAAAGCCTAGAAAATGACTACAAAATCATAATTTCACATGTAGTCAGAAGTTTTTTATTTACTGTAGGTCATATGAGCAAGAATGCTATGACAAAAATAGGAATACAAAAACATGTTAAATTAGAATAGCAGACAAATGTATATACATACAAATATGCTTATAGAGAAAGATTACACATACTGACATTACAGCTGATTGAATACTATATTTCTTGCCATGAGAAATTAAACATATGCACACATACAGATTACTCATCAAATAAAGGATTTGTATAAAATAAAATCTTATTTTCAAGATGAGTAATCCATCAGGAATACTTTCTATTAAACATCAGCTTTATACAGAAGCTTGGCATAGTTCTGTTTTCAAGATTTAGACTGTCAAATACTATTTTACATGACTATTGTTGCAACATGGTTTTATAATTATTTCCCAGAATATACCTTGCATCCATCTTATTACAAACTCAATTGCTACAGTTATTAATAAATAGTGCAGTAAGTTTTGTCAGGTTTTGAAAAGAGATTTTTTTGAGGCAATAGATGTCATACCAAAAGCTAGAGAATTAGAAAAAGTTTGGGAAGGGGACGAAGATCTAGTAAAAAGGTCTAATAGCATAACCCAAAAATTGTCAATAAAAAGTTTTTAATACTTTCAATATTTTTTCACTTTTAATATTTAATCTCTGTAAAAAGCAAGTAATTAAAATCTCTATATAGTTTTCATTTAACCCTGGAAATTTCTCATGACCTGAACCAATCCCTCTACTTTAAAAAGAAAAAAGTAAGGAGAGAATCTTAATAGGGTAGGATAAGAGCAACATTCTTAACTCATTAAAACAATAAAAATAAAGATTGATATGCTGGAACAATTGGTAAGACAATCCAATTAGACCCATGATTTCTTAAAAGTTACTCCCACATTAAAAGACAAACTACAATCTGTCCCCATTTTTAGCCATTCTAAAAAGATATAAAATAATACAAGAAGAGACCAACATTAAATATCAATTAAGAAACCATACAAAATATTTAAAATTTTTTCTTATTCTTAGATGTTGAATTAAAATATTTAAAATATTTATTGTAAACATTATAAATATTTTTAAAATACTATTTAAACTGGAGAGTCTGGAATTTTACTTTCCAAGAAAGTGTAAAGTGCAGATTATAATATAAAAATACCACACTGATTTTACCATTCAACACCAGAAGTAACTTAAAAGGCACACATTATACATTCAAGAAGAAATAGGAAAGATTAGCAGAGACACCAATGCCAAAAGTTTACAGATAGCACCAGATGAGCATTCTTAGTATTAATAACAGTACAATGGCGATATATGGCTTCTACTATTAGCAATGCATATTTTGTATAGCAAGCTGTGGAATTTTTTCTTTTTGTGGTTTTCCAGTTTTCATTTTAAAATTATCTAGTATCTATTACACAAGTACATTTTAGTAGAACCATTGTACCATGCAAAACAAATCATAAATTCTTTTATTCACTGAATTAAATGCTTCTCTGAGGGAAAAGTTGTTGGTGCTACACACTAATGATTTGTTTCACTTACTGAATACATTTTAAAAGAGTTACTACAATACGGAAGTCTCACCTTCACACACACACAAAACCTTTTATTAACATTCAGTTTCTAATAAAACACTAAATAATGGACTATCAATATACAATACTTTTCTTAGGTTTCAAAATATATGGTCAGAAAATATCGTTACAATGACGATAATGACTAAGTTATTTAATATAGTTAACACAAATCGACTTCAATGTGATCCTTTAAAATTTAAATATAACTTTAATCATTTAGAATTTCTCCCAAGGCAACTATAACTTCTCTACACTAGAATATATAAATAATAAGCCAGAATATAATGCCCTGGAAAGTTTACAGAAGTACATTTAACAGTTTATTATTAATGGTAAACAACTAATCACCCAATAATTTTAATGCTAAGCTATGTCCTTTAAATTACTTAATCGTATTAGTATTTCTCTTCAGAAAGTTAACTCTTCTATATGCCTGGACAGTTCTGAGTTTTTAAAACGTGGACTGCTGTTTCCACTGGTAGTTTAAAATACGTAGTGTTTGATTTTTCGTATTCAGAGTAGCTACTGCAACAGCAGTTAATGACCCAAGATTTTGTTGATTTTGCTCTTGAGCAAAGAGATGGCAGCGTATGAAACCCCACCCCCAATGAATCTTGCCCCTTCGGGGTTAATGACAGCCTTCTTTTATAACTGATGAGCTCAGACATAAGCCTTTGTCAGTAACACATAACCAGTAGTGGTTAACTAAAGCAGTGATTTTCAATGGACTAAGAAACTGCCAACAATCCAGAGGAATCCTAGTACCAGAAAGTGGACGGTGGGAACCAGCACACTGGTTTCCCACAATTCAGAGAGGGGCATGATGTCTCACCTACCCACCCCCACCCAATGGTCCTGAGAGTTGCAGTAACTGATAAGGGTCAGATAAATCTTCCATTCGGGAAACATGTGCTCTTAAACCTTGCAAAAAATCTGGATCTGAGGTCAGGGTTGTGGATAGAAAATTCAGAATTGGAGTCTCCTAGAAATAGGTCCATGATTCCCAAAGATAATATCTGAGTCTTTTAAATGGTAGGGCTCTTCATTATCAAAAGACTGAAACTAACTGCATTTTAAAATTATCCAGAATTGTGAGATTTTCTTTCTGATGGTAGGCAGAAAAAAAAATTAATCTAGATAAAATAACCAATCAAAATCTATGAGAAAAATAGGCAGGGGAAAAAAAGACCTGTTGCCTAAGCAAATATATCTGCTCTCCAAAGACTCACAGGGAAAAGAAACCAGAGAGCAATTGCTGCGCCATTTCACCATGTCACCTGTATAAGTATAAAATTGTTTTGCTTTAAATATCAAACTCTAAATAAACCTAATTAGAAAAATCTAATTAGCAAGATGATCCTCAAATAGATCAAAATTTCATTTTATTCTGTATTTCCAGAATTCTGATCTATTTTTATTCTCTAAACTGAAATTTTAGATTAAAAGTTTGTTTTTTAAAGAGATTTTTTCAGATTTTCATTCAAATAAATTGCAAAAATCTATTTTTTTTTTGGATGAATGAAAAGTATATACTCATAAACTTATACATAAAACGACAGTGAAAGAGACATATGAATGCTCCTAAATGGTGACCAAAGCCCAAGCAATTCAGGTGAAACTAGAAGTTGCAAGAGCATAGAGGCTCTGTCCTTTTAAGCTTCCCAACTCCAGAGAAAAGTCAATCACTGACCTTCTGACTAATCAGTTGGATGTAACTTCATCAGCAAACACCTTAAAGACAGAGCAGCTGACCAAAAGTTTGTTTAAAATTTCAGAAAAAAACAAGTTTAACTTAAAATCTTGAAGATCACTCTTATCTCACAAATATCGGTCATAGCCTTTGAATAGTATTTTTTATTTTAAAGTGCTTAAACACAAAGGCCTCAAAAATGGCCTAGTAATACCATCACTTAAGTATATGTTACAAAACAATAACATTTAAAATCTAACATTCAAGTTTAAAACAAATGGGTGAAATTCAGAATTAACACTGAGACTTCACCCTTAATCAGCTTTCTTACATCTTGGTATATCATGAATCAGTAGTACTGTTTGATCCATGGGATTAAAGTAGGACACCCTAGATTAGAAGTATCTAGATGTTCTCTATTCTCAAAGTTCTTACTTGTTCCCTGTTAAATCAGACCAAAAATAAGTACTAAATACAGTCTTCTGAGAAAAGAATGGCCCCATATTTCTATTAATTATATATTAATCTGATTAAAAGTAAATGGCTGAAGCTAGCACAAAGTACAGAAACTTCAAAACATATTTAAACAAGAATAGATATCAAGCTGCTTTTTAAATAATATATTAATATTCATTAAAAAATTAAATATACCAAACAATTTCAATTATTTTAGTCATTAATTCCAAAACTTTCTTACTATCAATAATATGTATATGAATTTAAAACAGATATATTAATAATTCATATACGCAAATTCATAAAATTGAAGATCTAATTATTTGATATGTTCATCAAAGAGAGAAATATGTTCACAACATTTCTTCCTTTCCTTAACATCTTGATTCAAGGGTGAAAATGACTCAAAATGAGACTTGAGCTGATACTGAATTAGATTTCTCTAATATGAATGTCTACTTTGCCATCAGGTTCTCAAAATATTGTTAAAAAAAACTTCCATTTATCTAACAGATATTTTACATTATAAGATAAAATGAGACCTTTCCTCTAAACCTTTTAAACTAACTCCACTCCCATTGTGTACTTTTTAACCTTCTGGTAAATTTTATTTTAAACCCTCAACTCATGTTTATGTCAAAGTATTATATAAAACTCCTAAATTCATTTTCTAGGTATTTTCTATTATGACTTTTTATTTGCCAAGCATAGGTGATTTGTTTTTTTTCCCTGAACACAATTTATAGAAATTCCCTGAATTAACATAAAGAAAGCCATTTTGTTATTTTCAGTTGACAGAGAATTTCAAAAAGAAAATTACTATTGTGCTGCTGTAAGTGTATAAAGATATGTTATCATTCCATTTACTTCACTGGAATGTATATGGAAGACATCTGTACAGAAGAGAAAGAAGTCAGCAGCCAGAGTTCAATACAGCAAGTAAATGTGTACTCTAATAGGAATAGTTATGGATATTTAAAGGCCCAGGAGTTGACCACCCCCAAGAATTCAATAGGTACAGTACATATTTAACAGCTCACAATTTACAAGTTATAAAAACTCTAATAATTAAGTTAGTTTACTAAAGAACTATCAGTCCTCCAATTGTAAACTTATAAATTCTTGAATGCATTTCTTATACTGCATTTCGGTATGGTTATTAGTAGAATATTGACCTGGCTGTCCATAAAGTCCTTCTGACTCCCGCATCTCTTCATTCATTCTTGCTAAACGTAACCTAAAATTAAATAAAAGCATTTTTAGATGAAATTATACATGATAAGTATTCATAAAGTAATGAATTGTATAAGCAGATAAAACGTGTACTAATGTAATTTCTTTATCAATATTAGCAACTAAAATAAAGGGGCTTTATTCCATCAGACCCAGCCAGCAATCCAAATACAAAAACAGTATTCCACTTTTTACAATTCTCATGAAAGAAAACAATGAAGGTGCATTTCAGCTCTGTTAAAGCAGGATTCTTGCAGCACCTTCAGCAACTTGTTTCCTCTAGACTCCAGAGAATTCCTGGCTTCTACAACAACCTATCAAACTTTAACCACCAATTGCCGGAATTAATGCTATAGTATGGAAGCCTAACATGAGTTCACTCTGATTCACTCTGAGATCAGTAGTTCCATACAAACAGTGTCTGTTATTTCTAAATACTGAAAACATATCTTAATATACAAACATTATAATAAAGACCACAGGTGACCAAGATTTTCCCAGGATTAACATATTGGCTATGCATTCTTTGGGGAGATTATTCATCCTGACAGCAGGAGACATGTAGCATTGGATTAAGAAGACAAGAATTTCTTCCCATTTTCTTACTAACGTGAAACAACAATTTAAAACATGCAAATGTTGCCTTTGGTGCCCCTCTCCTACTTTATATTACTCTTCTGTTCTTCAGGCCACCAAATATTCAAACATTCTCTTCTAATGTGCTCTCTCTGGCAACTGCAGCATCTAACATGGGCTTTTCCTATCTTCAGGGTACCATGAATCCCTTGCATTTCCATTTTCCACCACTGTGTCAATTAGTAATAGCAACATAATTTTCCTTCAGTATTTGAACTTTTCAAAGAGGACATCTATGTCAAAAACTTTTAAGTAAAACTAAAGTCCTTATAAAAAGTAATATGAGAAAATTTAGATAACTTTGAAACAGCTATCTATGGAAAGAGGGGACACTACTATATGAATTGCCTGGGAACCCAGCAAAACTAAGATTTGTTTCTTTATAGCATTTCTGTCTTTTCTTTAATAACTTAACTTTCTCTAATTGTAAATCTACAATGATTTAAATTTCCCTACAATAGCCTCCACAGTAACAATAACTCCTCCAGTGCGAAAAGGAAGTTGAATGCAGAGAAAATATGCTTTTTTTTTTTTTTTTTTTTTTAATTAAGCAGTGACATATTACAAGCCAAGAATTCTCAGTGGGAGCTCAGGAGTTCAAGGCAGTCATGAGCTTTTCTCCTTGTAAGTGACTGAAATTTAGTAGTGTGAATGGAACTCTCTCTACTTATGTATCAGAGGATCAACCATTTTGGGCTTCATTCAGAAGTGACTTCATACAACATATGCTTGAGATTTCCTACATAATAATGACATGTAAGTGAAAATGCATTTCTTGATTTCAAGTGTAACAATTATCTTTTATCTAATATGAAAATCAAATTAAGACCTCAAAAATCATCCCTTAACAGATCATATTAAATTATATTCAAACATTCAAAAACAAGTACTTTTATCTTAAGATAGAGTATTTTTTTAAAATAAGTACAAACAAATCCTTAAGTATCACTGCCCAAAAGCAATGCAACTGCAAAAGTTACTAATGTAGATGTCCCCCTACTTATAATCCTGATTCTCCAGGTAGCAGAATAATTGCCTGTTACTATACCAATCTAATCCTCATCCCAATATGTACTAAGAGTTAAAGAATTCATTTTAGAGAAATAACTGGTTTTCTGTTTCTATTGGTCATGAATGATAACAGAGGTGGCTAAGAACATGGGTTTTTAGGCCAGAATTCTTGGTTTCAAATTCCAGCATTACCACTTACTAGTTTTTCAAATTATCTGTGGCTTGACTTCCTTATAAAATGAAGTTAATAATAAAATCTTCCTCACAGGATTGTGAAAACCAAGATCATGTATGTCAAGTGCTTAATACAGTTATTGTACTTGGAGGAGTATATGGGATATAGTAAATAACTGGCCAGGTTTAAAGCTCATACCTACAAAGGAAAGCCCACCCAAGTACTATAGTGCATGGGAAATAATGAAGTAAAAACAAAACAAAACACCACTTACAAGGTCACTATATCAGCATTGGCTGCTTCCACAGCTATACTCAATGGGTCTTTCCCTTCTTCATCAGTGGCATGTTGATTGGCACCTCGTTTTAGGAATAAACATACCTGCCTTTTTGAGCAAATACCATTTTTGAGATAAAGTCAATAAGAAAGAAATTAGTATTTACCTTAAAAAAATAAAAAGCACTACCTAACTCAAAGAAATAATATTTTGATTAGCAAATTCTTATTCATTCTACAAATTACCTCTAACTCTTTTTTTTGAACACTGATTCTAAGAATAAAAATTTACCATAATCAGTATTTTACAAGTCTATTTAACCTGGTACTATATACAATAGTACAGTAGGGTAGTAAATTATGGTCCCTACTCTCAAAGAATATCATAAAAAGATGTACACAGATACACATGAAGTTAAAACAAAACTCAATCAAGGTCATTATTTGGGAAAGAAGGAAGCCAAGGTAATGTTAACATCCATAATAATAAAAACATAATATGCTAATCAAACCAGCCATCCTTCTGGAGTAAGCTGGGGCTGCGAGGGAAGCCTGGGTCCTGAGTGCCAGAGGAAAACCGGGGCCAGGAGCTGAGGGGAGGAAACCCTACTCTTGCACAAATTTCGTGCACTGGGCCTCTAGTCATAATATAATACAATAGCAGAGTGGGAAGTAATCCTCCCACTATACTTCACAAATATTATAACTTGAAGAAATATGTAAAAATTTAAAAATATGAAATGAATAAATAGAGTCCATGAAGTAAAATGGGAAGAAGTATGATTGTTTAAGAATACAAAAAATGAGCTAAATACTATAGTTTCTAAGTACAGAAAAGTTTTTATGATGAAGTTATTGAACTGAATCTCTTTACTGACAGAGGAACAAAAACAAATTATAGAAGATACTATAAATAAACAAACAAACAAAAAAGAACAGTTTGCTTGTCAAGGTTATAAGTGTGGCTCAAAATGGTTGAGTGTCAACTCATGGTTCGATTCCCAGTCAAGGTACATACCCATCACCAGTGTGTGTGTGTGTGTGTGTGTGTGTGTGTGTGTGTGTGTGTGCGCGCGCGCGCGCAGAAGGCAGTGGATGGATGATTCTTTTTTTTCTTTTTCTTTTTTAATATATTTTATTGATTTTGTACATAGAGGAAGGGAGAGAGATAGAGAGTTAGAAACATCGATGAGAGAGAGTCATCGATCAGCTGCCTCTTGCACACCCCCTACTAGGGATATGCCCGCAACCAAGGTACATGCCCTTGACCGGAATCGAACCAGGGACCCTTCAGTCCCCAAGCCGACGCTATATCCATTAAGCCAAACCGGTCTTGGCGGATGGATGATTCTATCTCATCATTGATATTTCTATCTCTATCCCTCTCTCCCTTCCTCTTTGAAATCAATAAACACATTTTAAAAAAATAATTGGATCTCTTTGAAATGATTAAAAAAACAATCTCCCATTCACAAACTTTACAAATAAGGCTAACAATCTGACTTCGTTTGTGCACTCTAATAGAAAATGTGTTTTCATGGCATTACTGTTTTGTGAGTCTAAATATTGCTTCAAAAGTCTCAATATTAGTATCACAGACTAAAAATTTACCTTAAAATTTTACTTTGGAGATCCTGTAGGAAAACTAAAATGCCCAAAGTTACAAAGTTCCCCCAAAATGTGTTTGTTATGAACATAATGTATGTCTATGTGCTTAAATACACACACAAACTTAAAGCTGTCTGACAAAAATCACCATCATTTTACTACTTTAAATACTGAAATTAATTGATATAAAAGACAAATGAATTTTAAAGTAAGTTTTGGGATTTTCTTATCTGAAAAGTAACATTTTTTTAAAATGAGATTTTTAAAATTTCAAATTCCATCATGACAATTTAAGTCACAGGAAAGTATAAAATCACAAACTCTACCTAATGGCCTTCATCTGAGAAAAAGATTGTGATCTAGCAAAACACACTACTTTCATTACCAGAATTCTCTTCCATTAAGAAAAAAAAAACATTTGATAGCTCTAGCCGGGTAGCTCAGTTCGTTAGAGCATTGTCCCGATAATCCAAGGTTGTGGCTTCAATCCCTAGTGAGGGCACATACAACAATCAACCAATGAATGTATAAATAAGTGGAGCAATAAATAAATCTCAATATCTCTCTCACTGTCTTTCATACTCTCTCAAATATCAATTTTAAAAAATTTTAAAGAAAAAAATGGAATTTACATAAAATGATACTCAGAAATCACTACCAGCTCCTTCTATTTTCCAACCCCATCTCTTAAAGCAAAACATTATTTCAAAGTAATTTTTCAAGTAACACCTACTTAAATATGTAAGCACTATAGCTTACCCAGTGTGCCCTAAGACAGTGGCATGGTGCAGTGGTCCCCGCCCTTGTATATCTCTTTGGTTTACATTAGCACCGTTCTGTAGGAGAAACTCGCAAGTCACCAAAGAGCCCTGAGGGGAGAGAAGAAAACATTGTATAAAAAGCAAAATATTTCCATTAAAAACAGTATTTACTTAATTCTAAGAGTTTTTCTATTTCATTCTCTTCTAAAGAGAAAATACCCCCCCCCAGAAAAAATGACAAATTATATTATTTCTTCCCAAGAACTACTTCTAATAAAGATTCAATTTGCAATTTGCAATCTAGCAAAATACACTTGCATTACTAGAATTCTCTTCCATTAAGAAAAAAAAAAAAAATCAAATTCACACAAAGTGATGCCAAGAATCACTACTAGTTTCTTCGATTTTCCAACCCATCTCTTAACACAAAAGATAATTCTAAGACCAAGTTTCAAATGAATTGTGATTTTCCATGTCTCAAGGTACAAATCCATACCCCTAATACAGCCTGAATAAGTGGTGTTGCTTTGTTTTCCTCTGAATTAGCCCAGTTCACATCTGCACCATGAGCCAAAGCCTCAGCCATTTTAGGAAGATTTTTTTCATATGAAGCCCTATAAAGCTGGAGTCCTGGATTAAGATGTTTAGATTCAAGAAACACAGAAGAATCTTGCCTTTCTCCCCCTGAAAAGCAAACACAAACACGTCATTAAAAACTAGCTCTTGAGGTGGGAAAGAATGGGAAGTTATTATTTCATAGGCACAGCATTTTAGTTTTATAAGGTAAGTTCTGTGGGTGGATAGTAGTGACAGTGATTCACATCAATGTGAATTAAGACTTAATGCTCATCAATGATTCTCATCATTGATATTTCTATCTCCATCTCCTTTCCCCTCTGAAATCAATAAAAAGATATTTAAAAAAGACTTAATGCCACTGAACTGTATACTTTAATATGGTTAAGATGATAAATTTTACATTATGTGTAATTTGCCACAATTTTTTTAAATTGACTCTTAATTGTATCACAATGTGAAAGTTGTGGCATAAGAAATGACTAATTTAACAAAATGAGCTGATTTCACAAAGACATTTTATTTCCAATAGGCTATCATTCCTCAGTCAACTTCTCTTATCAATTAGTATGTCAGTCTTTTGTGTTCTTGCCAGCATCTAATAGGTAGGTTAATTACTCTGTATTAGAATAAAATTATGTATCCTAGTATATAAAAAGCCAGAGGCCATCACGACCGAAACAACCAATGGACAACCGTGGGGCAACCAGGCCAGCAGGGGGGTTAGTGAGGGATGACTAAACGACTGAACAGCAGGCTGAACAGTACAACCAGGCTGGCAGGGGGGGCTGCTGGGGACAACCAGGCTGGTGGGAGGGGGGGCAGTTGGGGGTGACCAGGCCATCAGGGGGCCAGTGAGGGGCGACCAGGCTGGGGGGGGAGAGAGGGGAGGCAGTTGGAGGCAACCAGGCCGGCAGGCAGGTGAGCAGTTAGGAGCCAGCAGTCCCAGATTGTGAGAGGGGTGTCCTAGATTGAAAAGGGTACAGGCTGAACTGAGGGAACTCCCCCTCGTGCAGGAATTTCATGCATCTGGCCTCCAATATTTCTATAAGCCTGGACTTAAACACTCAAAAGAGGCAGTGAGAATCCCTAAAGAATTTTACTACCAGATGACACCTCACTTTATTCCTAAAATAATCCAATACCATCACAATTTGCGGTATAAGCATTTCAAGTAATGTGAAGAACATTTACTACCCTGAGTGTTCTGCAATACCCAAATCATTAAATATGAAGGAGATAATATAGCAGTAAAGCACAAAAAAAAACTAAAGAGAGCAAGTTGCTGATCTCTTCCTCCTGATAAGAAAAAAACAGCCACAAAGGAAGATAAGAGTAATAAGACATACAGACCATATGAATTAAAAGTTATCCTTAGCTGCCGGGACCGGTTTGGCTCAGTGGATAGAGCGTCGGCCTGCGGACTGAAAGGTCCCGGGTTCGATTCCGGTCAAGGGCATGTACCTTGGTTGCAGGCATATCCCCAGTGCGGGGGTGTGCAAGAGGCAGCTGGTCGATGTTTCTCTCTCATCGACATTTCTAACTCTCTGTCCCTCTCAATTCCTCTCTGTGTAAAATCAATAAAATATATATATTTTTTTTAAAAAGTTATCCTTAGCTAGCCCTGAATAGTAGCTCAGTTGGTTGGAGTATTGTCCCAATATGCCAAGATTGTGGGTTCGATCCTGGTCAGGGCACATATAAGAATCAACCAATGAATGCATGAATAAGTAACACAACAACAAAAATCTCTCGCCCTGACCAGTGTGGCTCAGGGGATGGAGCGTCAGCCTTTGGATTAAAGGGTCCCAGGTTCGATTCAGATCAAGGGCATGTGCCTTGGTTGCAGGCACACTTGCAGTGGGGGAGGGTGTGGGAGGCAGCTGATTGATGTTTCTCTCTCAACGATGTTTCTAGCTCTCTATCCCTCTCCCTTCCTCTCTGTAAAAATCAATTTAAAAAAAACTCTCTCTCATTAATTAATAAAAAAATTTTAGGAAAAGGCACTTAGATAAGGCACTTATAACATATATCATGAGGTTCAGAAGAATGTATAGCGAGGAGGTAACTTTCATATATAAAAAGAAATAGCCACTTTTAATTTATTGTATTACTCCTTCTTCCAAAAAACTAACCACTTCCTTTAGAAGCTATTTAATCAAGAGCAGGCATTTAACACATGTATTTTTCAGCAAATAATATCAATTAACACTGAATTTCAGCAAAACTCACCAGTCTCATATAAACTATTGGCTGACACTGTAGAGGGTAAAGATTCTCTTCCATCATCAGAGCTCTGCTGGATTCCACTATCATTACTTCTGACTGTTTTAAAAAAAAAATCAGCTAGTGGTTAAAAAAAAATGGCATTAAGAAAACAACCTCCCACAAACAACGAAGTTTTAAAATGAACTCTGATATATCGATGGGAACTCAGCCGTCACCAGAATACATTTAATACAGTTTTAATCCTTTTGAGCTCTTAGCTTATCAAAATATGAATCAAGCACAAAAACTGAAAATAAGCTCATTTTCAGAGTTGTAAGACAGCTCCTTACCCCATAATATGTAAGGGGTAGTAAAAAGAATTTGTTGTATGTCTGGAAGTAATGTGTAATTCTGAGACAATGGGTAACATCTAGAGAAATGGCCACACTGCACAATGACCACGGGCACAGACTTGGAATGCTCCACAAGAGTAGTACTTACTACTACGTAGTTTTGAAGAAGTATCAAAGTAGGAGAAGAGTGAATCTAGCTCATCAGGACAGAACAGAGACTCCCGCCTGGCCTCGTCGCTATTTACAGCAACCACTGGGGACATGCAAGTTAGCAAAGCACAAAGCAGGCCGTAAGAAGGGAAAAGGGCAGGAAAAAAACGTTATTGGGAAAATTTTAGGAGGGAAAAAATAGGAAGGATGTTAGGTGGTTAATCAGATATTTAGGGCTTTCTGGCATGGTAGATTTATAAATTCCCATCTCCCCTTGTACTTTAAGCAGTTTTATTCCTTAGAATATACACATTACCTAGAAATTGAATTAGCAAGACCTATTTAAATTTAATAGTTTTAAAGACATAGAAATCCAATTTTTCCTTAGAATATGTAGAAGAAAACAAGTTTTTAGCACTTAAAAATCTACAATGGCTATTAATTCTGAGATTAAAAAAGTGTCATCAGAGTATGAAAATATTTATATACGCAAGTAAGTTTAATACCTGAACTTTGGGGAGATGCTCTGCCTTGGTCACCTGGCCCAAGTTTAGGAATGCTTAACCTCTTTTCTTCGCCACTTTTGGAGATCATCTCTTTTTCCTGCTCAGGAGGTGATGATAATATAGAATATTTATCCACAAATTTCCTCTCCACATATTTTGCTTTGATATATGCCTCTTTCTCCTGTCTGGTAAACATAAAAATGTCATGATGTTCTGCTTGGCTCTGAGCATGACTAACACTGAAAAGAAGCTATTATACATTGACTAATTCAAAGAAAGTCAGTAAATGTAACACTAGTTAAAAGAGAATTTGTGACATTATGCCATTTTTTTTCCAAATATTGAATGAGCTATGATTTCATGTTCAAATCAAATACAAATAACAGACTAACTTAAAAATCACAAATATTAGCATGGCATTCTTTTTCTCTTATTTTTGTACTCATTCATTTTTATACATAGTCCTTTGTACTTTAATTTCGTTTTTATTCCAATAACGTCACATACTGAACTATAACTATGGATAGTAATAATTTTTCGTAACACAACTACTTTAAAATGCAGCATTTCTAAGTTGGGGGGAAAAGATGTCACATTTTAAACTTTTGATTTCTCATTAATAAAGGCATAATATGCTAATCAGACCGGCAAGAAGCCTGGGTCCAAGTGCCTGCGGGAGGCCGAAGGAAAGCCAGTGATGGCAGCCAGGGAAGACATACTCTTGCACGAAAATCCTGCATTGGGCCTCTAGTCGGATCATAAATGCCAAGTGTGTTCTCTACCTTTTCCTGTATATTTTTCAAATGCTTAGATCTTTGGCTAAAATAGAATATTTCAAGGTCTAACGTAACTCAAAAAGCCATACTTTAGTAAATAAATAATCTGATTTAAGTGATATTGATTTAGAGAGTAATAACATTAAAATAGTATTAATTATACATAAGAATTTAGTCAAATGTAAAACCCCAACATAGGGTTATGACAAATGAAATTTTAAAGCTAAAAATAATCATAAACTAAAAACAACATAACAAAAAACAAAATAAGGCTCTAGCCAGTTTGGCTCAGTGGATAAAGCATTGGCCTGTGGACAGAAGGGTCCCGAGTTCAATTCTGGTCAAGGGCACATGCCTGGGTTACAGACTCGATCCCTAGTAGGGGGTATGCAGGAGGCAGCCAATCAATGATTCTCTCTCATCAATGATGTTCCTATTTCTATCTTTCCCTTCCTCTATGAAATCAATCCTATCTAATAAAGAGGGGATATACAAACTGACCATCACGCCATAACAAGATGGCTGCACCCACAGCAGAGGCAGGGATTCCATAACACAAGATGGCTGTGCCCACAGTGGAGACTGAGTTCCCATAGAAGCCTTAACAAGCAATCAGCAGGGACCTGAGGCTGTTCCCCAGGTGGGGCTTAACAAGGGACCTCAGGCCACGTTCCCTGCCCGGTGGAGCTTGACAGGGAACCTCAGGCCATGCCCCCTACCTGGCAGGGCTTGATAGGGGACCTTAGGTCGCATCCCCCACCCCAGTGACAGGCTGGGGGACCTCAGGCAGCACCCCCAGCCCTGGCGCCAGGCTGGGGAATCTGAGGCTGTGCCCCCCCCCCCCCCATGTGGAGCTTGACAGAGGACCTCAAGGTGATTAATAAATATTTATTTAAGTCTCACATGTAAAATTATTCATTGTACATAATAGAAACTTAAACCTTAGATACATTAACAGATTCTCTTTTTAAATGGAACTTTGGTCTACTTTAACTACCAAGAGTTTTTACATTCCTATGTAGAACTTTAATTTTTAAGATCCTTATCTGGGGACTATAATTGAACATCTGATCAATAAAAAATAATTAGCTATGGGTTAATGGAGGCAGTAATGATCTCTTCTAAAAGTCTGTTTCAGTATTACATATCAATTATGATGAAATAAAATCATAGCTGTATTTCTGACGAGGGAAAAAAAAGACAACATATTAAGACAACTGAAACAGTACCTTTGTCCTGGTTGTGGTTTCTTTATTCCCATTTTTTCTACTTTAGCCTCATAAACTCGATTTATAACATCATTCCCCAACTCACACATAAGCTGTTTGGCAGAAAAACAGAAAAATAAGCTAGAAATTCCTAAAAATACTATAAAAGTCATTAAAGCAAGTACAGCTAGTAAATTCCTTTGGCATATTCTGCAACTGCTCATCCCACAAAGAAGTTTACTATTAAAGCAAAATGAAACAAGAGCTGAGAGCAATATCACCATTTGCCATTCTTCGGCAAAATACCTCTCCCTAGAATTACCACCCCTACAAGAAAGAGTTTCTCCTCTCCCATCTTCTATTAGTTTTCTATTGCACCATGGCTAGCACAATCCTGTATATTATTCACAATATCTGGTCAATTAAATGAGAAAAGAAGTCTAAGGACAGACAGGAAAAGTTTTAAGTAACTCAGAACTGAAGTAAACTATTTCCTTCTTATACTTCATATATAAATATTTCAAAATATTTTGTTTAAACAATTGTCATGATTTTTAGTGCATCATATTGATTTAGAGAGCAATAACATTAAAATAATATTGATTATACATACTATTGTGGTTCAAACAAATTTTCTAAACTGAATCCATTGAGATCTACACAGAAAGTTGATGCAAAAATTAGATTCCTATTCCTCTTCCCTCTGAATTAATAACAATTAATGGAATCTATGTAAACAGAGTAAATCTATCACTTTCATTTAGAGGTTTATACTGTAATTCCACAAATATTTTACTGTACATAGTTGAGAGGATTACCAGTTTATTTATAGACTGAAATAAAAGCACAAGCACATTAAGAACACAATTTCCAGACAAAATAAATGAAAAGTATACTACAACCTTTAAACTAAATGGGTGAAATTTAAAGGAGTATAATATTAACTTATGAGTTTTGTAAATCATATCAGAAACCCAGATGTGATCTAAAGTTATTTATGACATTTTTATAGATAATAATCCTCACAGATGGAAAAAGGATGTCTTAGTCTGATGGCTACTACCCTGAAAAACGTAAATTTGCAAATGGTTCTATGCTAAACCCAATGGAAACAACATAATATGCCAATCCATAATGGAGCTTACTATAGCAATATGTCTCATATTTTTATCAAGAATTTATATAATTAGCTGAGACCAGTTTGGCTCAGTGGATAGAGATTCTCTCTCATTGATGTTTCTAACTCTCTATCCCTCTCTCTTCCTCTCTGTTAAAAATCAGTAAAATATATTAAAAATAAAAGAATTTATATAATTATATATATTAAAATTAAGGCATAAAGCCCAAGATATTTTTTGAAAAAGTATAAAAATGTAGGAACACTGGTTTCCTTAAAAAGTGAACTAACTACATAAACTTAGCAATTTTTAAATCCCAATATGAAAATATCAGATTTGTCAAAATAGCCACAGAAATGTTCCAAAACAACACAGTTCACTGTGAGCATTGAGAAACTCATACATTTGTAAACCAAGATTCTAAATTCCTTTTATGTGGAAATATAAAACATTTCAAAGCAAATATTTATTTTACCTTTAAAAGTTCAGGCTCCCACGTGTCTAAAGTTAAAGAACGTACTTTTGAAAAATGAACTCCAAGACTCCTAAGTGGGAAAAGACTTTGTTAATATACAAAACTATCAACCTTGATTTGCTTATTATGCAAATTACTTTTCCTTACAATGTGGCAGTCTTTAATAAAGCTCTCAACATACATATAAATAGGAATGCATCTTCTGCTTTAATACAATGAATGGTAAACCAAAGCCCTCAGAGGCTCTTCACAAGCCAGAACTGTATCTATTGTAACAATACTTTACAAACGTAAAAAGATACAAACTAGCAGTCAAACTAGGCAAGTGGAAAAGGCCCTCTGACTGAAAGGACATGATAATTTACATGTATGTTTATCCAAAAGAAGTCTCTCACCCTGGGCAGGCCTACTCACCGGTGAATTCCAGAACACTCAATACACAGGGTGATGCCCAGGTTGATGCTGGCCCACCGTGGGTCTGCCAGGCCACAGTCACAGCAGCTGGCATTGCCAGGGATACACTGGACTCGCTGCAGTGCACTTTCTCCTTTCAATGATTTATCTTTTGACTCATTTCCAGAATCCAGGCTTCCTGTAGATGGAGATGACTTCTTGTCCAGCTTCTAAAAGAATTAAAAATTTTTGTTTTTGTCTTTGTTTTAAAAAAGATTGTAATACCATGTTACATACGATAGGCTCCAAACAAAAGTTTCTGATCAACAGATTGAAGCCTCTTATGGACCTACACCGGGCACTGGTAGAGGCATTAGAGATTTAAAAATGGAACGACAGCACTGGCCGGTGTGGCTCAGTTGGTTGGAGCAACAGCTTATACATTAGAAAGTGGCGGATTCAATTCCTTGTGAGAGCATATACCAGTTTGCGGGTTCAATCCCTAGTCAAAAAGTGTGTGCTGGAGGCAACCGATCAATGTTTCTCTCTCTCTCTGACTCTCTCTCTCTCCCTTCCTCCCTCTCTAAAATAAAATTTTTAAAGGAAAGATATAGTTTCCTCTATCAACTGGATTTTAGTCTTGTGGAGAGAAATATATATACACTTTGAATAATTATAAAGGTAGTGTTTATTAAAATACATTTCATTTTCAAAATTGAGCTATCAGCTGTTAAAGTGTATACATTTTGGGGGGACATCCTATATATAAACATGTGTGTGTGTGTGTATACATGCATATATGTGTATACATGTATATATAATATTTACACATATGTATATATAATGCTTATGCAAATATATAAACTGGTACAACGAAAACATAATATTAGGTCTAGTAATAATTAATGTCGTTTTTAAACATTCGTTTAAAATCTTGCTTGGCGTTGACTTGTATTGACATAACCTTCAAACACGTGGTATCTACAGAACGTGTGAAGTGCAATTAACAAGTTTTGCTTGAAAAAGTTTGTGTTTGGTTTGGTTTTTATTGCAAAACTAGGGCTAAGAAGATGGCGGATGAAGAGCACATTCGGCACTGCATGCTTTACGAGTTCCAATTAGGAAGAAAAGCAAGCGAGACTGCAAAAAATATCTGTAGTGCTCTTGGTCAAGATGCAGTTAGTGCCAGAAAATGCCAGCGTTGGTTTGAGAAATTTCGCGAGGGACATTTTTCGTTAGATGACAAGAGTGGTCGAGGCCGTGTGTCCAATTTTGATCAAGAAGCTCTTCAAGCTCTTTTGGTGCAAAATCCTCAAATTACCCAACAAGAGCTTGCGACAACTTTAAATTGTTCACAAAAAACAATTTCCAATCAATTGCGTGCACTTGGCAAAGTCCAAAAGTTTGGAAAATGGGTTCCTCATGAGTTGACAGACAACAACCGTAATCAAAGAGTCACAATTTGCAGTTCGCTCCTCTCTCGTCAAAACCATTTGCTGTTTTTAGAGCAAATTGTTACCAGAGATGAAAAATGGGTGCTGTATGTTAATTTGAAAAGGCGGCCTCAATGGTTGGACAAAAATGAGGCTCCGCAGCCCACGCCAAAACCTGACTTGCATGCGAAAAAAGTGATGTTGTGTGTTTGGTGGAATTTTAAAGGAATTCTTCATTATGAACTTTTACCATCTACCCAAACCATTACAAGTGCAGTGTACAGTGCCCAACTGGAAAGGTTAGCCCAAGCTTTAGGAGAAAAAGAACCCGCGCTGATTAATCGGAAGGGCGTAATTCTTCACCATGATAACGCACAACCGCATACTGCAAGAATCACTGTTGAAAAACTGCGCCAGTTGGAATGGGAAGTTCTCCCTCAACCTGCATATTCTCCTGATATTGCCCCTTCCGATTACCATTTGTTTCGTTCTTTGCAAAACTTTCTTCTTGGAAAAAAATTTAATAATGAAGAATGCCTCAAAAATGCATTGATCGAATTTTTTGCATCAAAATCACAAGAATTTTACAACAGAGGGATTAAAATGCTTCCTGAGCGTTGGGCACAAGTAGTAGAAAACAACGGCAACTATATTGTTGATTAAATTTTGTTGTATTGTTTAAATAAATTCGATTTAAAAAAGTATTAGAAAACGACATTAATTATTACTAGACCTAATACATATTTACATATAATATTTATTCAAATATACATTTGTATATACTGATACAATGAACATACATACAAAATATGAGGTCAAAGAGAAAGGAGAACACTAATTAAATGTGCAAAATGAGAAAACAGAGGAACTAAATATGAAATTATTAAGACTCAAGAAAAAAATATTATTTTACATAAGGTTTTTCAAAGGTATTCATTGAACTGCAAGCAAGTTGTTTAAACTACTTCAGTGTATTACTAAAGAACAGATCAGTTACATAATTATAATCACAGAGTGAATCAACAATAGAATACACAATATCTAAAAATGTCCTGGGCCATTAAGAAACAAAAGGTGGCAGATGAGCAAAAGGCTAATTTCTTAAGTTTACAGCAAAGTCTATACCAATAATAGAAACATGTAGTTTGAGGTCCTAAGCAATTAAACATATGGCCTAAAAAGTATTTGAGTTTAAAAGCATTTCAATAAGCTAGTATTTTAGTAAAGAATCATTAGAAATATAATTTGGCCCTTGTTTTGCCCTTGTGAAAACTCAATTCATTAGCCATTAGTTGGGGCCAAGCAAAAAAATAGTTGTAGTATTGTCTATAGAGGACTGAACTGGGTGGGAAGCATATCTTTAAATGAAAACACCACCATGTTGGATCCCAAACAGGAAAAGGAGGGTATCTGCATAAGGAGGGAGCCCAGCGTGGGAAGAGCCTGAGGAAGGAGAGGAGTGTGGAGGAGTGCTGCACTGTGATGTGTCATAGCCAGAGTGGGGTCAGGGGGAGGTGGCAGCAGAGAAAAGACATTGCTTACATATAGGGGAAACTGATCATGTAAATAAGCATGTTGAAATTAACGGAAGCTAAATTTCTCACTGCTGAGAAAGAAGTTATTCATAGAAAGGGAGAGAATTAGAACAAATCCCATTGTATTAGATTGGAACTGGAGATACAACAGGCACAATATTGGTTTTCAATATAAATAGATATATAAAGAAATATAGATTTATTTATCTTGGTTTCTAAAAACCAATTCTCCACCAAAAGGAACTAGGGCTCTTTAAGGAAACTGCTGATTTCAGAGCTGGTGCAGAGAAAGGACAAGATGAACCTGAAACATCTCATCATGCTGGAAGTATGGAAGAGCTCAAAAGATTGATGGCACCATGTAAAAGGATACAGAAGCCAGGGCTCTACTGGCCAAACTTGAGTCAATTTGTCCAACAAAACAAATAATGATGGTAATGGATGTTAACACATCAAATAAAATCATAGCCTATGGTGACATAATAAAAAAATTCAGCCCAGCTGGCTTGGCTCAGTGGTCGAGCTTCGACCTATGAACTGAGTGAGAGGTCATGGTTCGATTCCCAGTCAGGGGCACATGTCTGGGTTGTGGACTCAATCCCCAGTGTGGAGCATGCAGGCAGCAGCCAATCAATGATTCTCTCTCATCATTGATGCTTCTTTCTCTCTCTTTTTCTCCCTTTCTCTCTGAAATAAATAAAAACATTTTTTTAAAAACATTCAAAACTTGATAAGGAACAGAATACCGTATTTTTCGAACCATAAGACGCTCCGGACCATAAGACGCACCAGTTTTTAGAGAAGGGAAATGAAGAAAAAAAGATTCTGAAACAAATAGTGTCCTAAAATATTTTATGTGCATTAAAACCCAACATCACAGTCATAAACACATGTAATCAACCCTGTAAAGTAAACAGCAGCATTTAGAACCATTTTAGAGCCGGGCAAGCACACAGAGACCACACAGAGCCGGGCAAGTAAAAAAACTTTTTTTTTAAAGTATATGTGTAGGCTATATTTGGACCATAAGTCGCAGGGACTTTTTCCCCTCACTTCTGGGGGGAAAAAAGTGTGTCTTATGGTCCGAAAAATACGGTAGTTACATAATCTCAAAGTAACTACCCCACAAAATACTTAGTACCTACTAAGAAAACTTTGCAGTAAAGAAGTCTAACACATATCATCTTAATCAAATTACCCCAGTTAATATTACTAATAATGGGACAAATCCATATCAGATGCCACCTGAGAGGATGCAGTGAGAAGTGCACAGCATCAATTATATAATACTAGAGGCCCGGTGCACCAGTAGGGTCCCTAGGCCTAGCGGTGATCAGGGCCAATCTGTTGGCAACCCCTCTGCTCACACCCACCTTCGCCAGCCTGGCGTTGCAGCCTGGCACTGCCCGTTCACCGGCCCCACCTCCTGCCACCTCTGCCAGTCGCCTTCCTCTGCAGAGCGACCAAAAGGGCAATGGGGATGGGGGGGGAGAGGCCTCCCGCTGGCACCCACTTTGGCCAGCCTGGCGCCACCCGCTCACCGGCCCTGCTCCCTGCCTTGGGGCAACTGGCAGGACAATGCGGGGGGAGAAGAGGGGATAGGGCACCTGTTTGCAACCACCTTTAGTTGGCCTGGGTCCTGCAGGCTGGGGGCAGCTCCCACACTGAGCATCTGCCCCTTGGTGGTCAGTGCACATCATACCAACCAGTCATTCTGCTGTTCAGTCGATTTGCATATTAGGCTTTTATTATATAGAACTAGAGGCCCGATGCACAAAATTCGTGCAAGGAGCTGGCCCTCACAGCTACAGGGACCTGCCTCGGCCTTCATGGCAGCCTGTCTCAGCCTTCACAGCTGGCTTCATCCAGAAGGTCATCCAAAAGGACATCTGGAAGGACATTCGGCCGTCCGGTCTAATTAGCATATTACACTTTTATTATTATAGATTCCTGCCAAAGATGCATAGTCTTGTGAGTAAACATCAGACAAACCCATACTAAGGGACATTGTACAAAATTAACTAGTATAGTCTTCAAAACTATCAAGGTCAAGAAGGTCAAAGTAAGACTAAGCAACTATTCCTAACAGAAACCAAAGAATCATGATAACTAAATAATACCTGTGCTTCTGGATTATATTATTGAACATTACTGGAACTTAAAGATATTTGGGAATCAAGTGTTAATAATTTACCAATGCTCATTTCTTGATTTTGATGGCTATACCATGATTATATAGGAGAATATCTTAAGCTGTGGAAA